TCTCTCTCTCTCTCTCTCTCTCTCTCTCTCTCTCTCTCTCTCTCTCTGGTGTGTGTGTGTAGGTGGGTGAGTGGATAGGTGGGTGGATGGATAGGTGGGTGGGTGGTATGGCCACTCCTACCAACTCCTCTGGGGATCTTCAGCCTCACCCACAGCCACATGGAGAAACACTCTATCCCGATAGACAGGATGCTTCCTCGCAGTGGATGCTGGGCTGAGGCAATCTGCAGATCATGAGGGCTGTTCCCAGACGCTCTTCAAAGGTACAAAGGGAGCAACAGCAGCTAGTAAGGCATCTATATAGCTAACTGGGGCTGAAGAACACATGGTGACCCACCTAAGGGGCTGACGTGGGAAGCTGAGGCACCTGCTCTCATTGTAGGTCAGTGATGTCTGTGTCCGAGGGCAGGGCTCTAGTCAGTCTCCTTACAGCCTTCAGAGTTTACAGTTTGGTAACCCAGGCTGCAGCTAAGTACTCTGTGTGCCTCTGGCTCGGTAAGGTGAGAAGATGGGGAAGGACCCCCATGGGCTCTCCTCCAGCCACTCACTCCCCTCCTAGGATTCTGTGCCTCCAGACCGGTTATGCTGGACATCCAAATGGAGGACCACAAGGTCCTCTAATTCCTATGTCCTGTGCCTGGTGCCCTCCCTGTCACCATTGCTCGAATCCTCTACAACTTGATGTGTCAAGTTTGTGCCGAGGGCAGTGAGCGGTCATTAGTGCCTGTCACTCTCAATCAAACAGCTCCCCGCCCCCACCTGCCAGCCCAGCACTGCTGATGGCAGTGACGAGACCCAAGCATGGATGCCAACCCTCCTGCTGCTGCCAGTGTGTGTGTATGTATGGGGGGGTGGGGATGTGCCTGCTCTTCTAAACTAGCTTCAGGCCACTGAGCTTCAGATCCAGCCCAATCCTTGCTCCTTGAGTGAGGATATGCACACTGCGCTGGCAGGGCCTGGCAATGGCTGCCTCCCAGATCAGATGGGAGGGAAATTGCTCACCACACTCCCATATCCCCTGAGACAGGGAAGTAGGTATCTCAGCCTCCTAGGATTGGGGCCATCCCATTTACTGAAGAAGTGCTGAGTTCTGTAGGGTTTGAACATGCAGCTATCAGAGCTGCCTATAGAGACAGAGTCCTGCATGAGGGAAAGAATGTTTTAGGTCTTCAGCCTGAAGTGACATGGGGTTAGATTATCCAAGGGGTGTATGGGTAAGCACCCAGGTTGGCAGCAGGGAGACTTGGATTCCAGTCCTGAATTTTCCTTCTCACTGGCCAGTTTTTCCTTTGCTCAGTTTCCCCAGCAACGGTTCTCTAGTGTGTGAGTACAAACCTCTAGAAGTAGTGACAGAAAGGTACCTTCCTGTCCTTGTCCCAGCGAGAGCAACTGCAAATGCTTCTCAGGGTCCACACCTTAAACAGTGTCTCTGAAGCCATGACTAGTGGCTATGTGCTGCAGACCACTCCAGAGATGTGCTGATTAGGCCAGAGGGAAGGACCAGGGAGGAGGGACAAGGTGAGCCATCTAATGGGAACTTAGGGCCATACTCAGAAGCCTCTGAGTGAAAGGACCCGGTAGGGGCCTGCTTCTGTTGCTGGGCTCCATCACTGTGTGTCTTTAAGACAACCAGCCAGCCCACTGGCTGTCGTTCCTTACTCCTGATTTTGTTTTTAGATCATGAAAATGTCTCCCTCTTATTTGCTCTTCTTTCTTTCTCTCCATTTCTAGCTGCTCTGAGAAGCTGTCACCTTGCTTCAGCCTTTGGGAACAGTGTGAAAGATAGGGTCCATGTCCCCAGAAGCCTGAACCTAGGGCCTGCCAGATTCCTTCAGATTCCTGGGAAGAGAGGTTGTGGCTGCTACAGGGTTGCAGCAGGCTGAGATTCCTTGCCCCGTTTCCAGGAGATACAAGGAGGTCAAAACGGGGTGATGACCCATGGGACCTAAGTCATCTCAGAAACGGTGCTGCAGTGGGCAAGAGCTGAGATTTCAATCTTGATGCTTCCTATAGGTGAGCCTGAGCATGGCGCCCATCGGTCACTCTCCTCCACTTTCCTCATGTGTGGACAGTGTAATAATCACACTGTTGCATACTGAGCACAAAATGTGTGCTGGACTCTGTTCTCAGCACTTTACAATTGTGGGCCAATTTGGTCCAGACACCACTTGCCCATAACTGAGGCCCTCACACCCCTGCTCTGCAGACACAGAAACGGCTGGGGAACTTGCTCAAACTTTGCCTTAACTTTGTGAACAGCATAAATGATGCTCTGGCTTTAGAGTCCAGCCATACAAGCACTCTGCAGGGTTGACTCCATTAAGCACAGCTTCTGCAGGAGGAGGCAAACAGAACCACTGGGAGTAGTTCTGGTGTGTACTGAGTGTCCACAAAGGTGGCAGTGGGCATTATGGTTGCTCTTATTGCTTGGTTGTCTCTTCCCTGCAAAGCTGGATGGTCCACCAGACAAGCACAGCAAGGCACCCACTCGGTTTTATCTTTGCAGAGGTAGTCAGAGCAGCTCAAAACAAGATGACAAGGAGCTCAGGACAGCATGCCCCCGGGTGCCTCCCCCATGCTCATGCCAAGATAGCAAAACTGAATAGACCTCACTTCTCAAATCTCTACTGTTGGCTCTCAATCTCCCTCCTTAAAGTAGAGAGATACTGTTGGCTAAGAATCTAAGCATCTCTCTCCTTAGAATAGAGAGAGGAGATGTCCTGGCCCCAGCGCATCAGAGGGTATGAAGGGAAGAATTGAGAACTCTATTCCATCACTACAGGGGTATCTGGCCAGAGTTGGGGGATGGGGAGAGGGGGGAGAAATCCCTGAGAGTTTAGGCAGGAGCTTCTCACCAGGGACTCCCAGAAACGCTATTTACAGGGAGCTTTCTCTTGCTTTTAACTTTGACATCTTCCAGAAGTTTCCCTGTACAAAAGCAGCCCCGTGGTGGCTGTAATTTCCATGTCACATCTCTGCACACAGCACACTCCACCCCCTTCAACTCCCTCCCCCACAAGCACCTTCTCCTGCCCACCACACAGAAACAGCTTCTCCCTGGTTACAGCCTTCTGCCCTCCACCCCTCCACCCCTCCACCAGAGGAGCGCAAGTGAAATGGGAAATTGACAGAGGGAGGGAATGGGGGCAACTTCAGCTAAAAACCAAGCTTTGGTTGGAACTTCTCTGTTTCCTAGTGAGCATCGATTCTGGTTGGTGATCCCACGTTGCTACGGCGACAACCCCAGCTGTGGTCCAAAGCCCCAGCCCTCGAGCCCTCCCCACCAACAGTGAGCCACTTACTGTGATGGTGTTTTCCTTGCTCTGTTTCTTGCCTGGCGATGAGGATCCCAGGTTCTGGGGAGAGAGGTGAGATCCATCATCAAAGCTGTTCTCCATGTTGGACATTTTTTTCCCCATCCCTGTTCCCCAGGTGGGTGGAGGGATTGGTTAAGAACCCTGAGCTGGGGAAGTTCAGGGGTGTCAGCCTGTTGTTAACTCCTGAGTCACCATATTCTGGGTTGGGGCAGGCAATAGCATCTTAGAGCCCAAGCTGCTGCAGAGTGCTCAGGCTCCAAGCAAAGTGGAGGAAGGCTGAGCTCAGACTCCAGGGAGCCACAGCAAACCAGGTCTCCCTTCCTCTCCTTTCCAACTGGGATTTGGAGAGTTAACCCCTCCACTGCCCTCTACTGGTAACCAGACCACGTTGCCAAAGCATAGGAGTGAAATGACAGGGGAGCAGAGAGTTAAGGCAGATTGTAGGCCACCCTCCCACCCCCAACCCCAGGCACAGAGGACTCAGCACATGACATCGTATTCTGAATGCCCCCCCTCCTAGTCTGTAATGTCAAACGGTGAATGCGTGGAATGAACACAGGCTTGGCTCAGCCACCTTGGCAATGTGCCTTGGTGCCAGTGCCTGGGAGCCACAGTGATTTCCCATAAGCAGAGCATCCTTCCAGAGTGCCTTTTTATATTGTCCCCACTGTCAGCAAGAAAACAAGAGTCCTAACTACCCATGCCCCCATAAGTGATGGCCAGAGTCCCATGATTGTGTTGGTGGAGATGGCCAAGAACAGCCAGCTTTAAAAAAAAAAGCCACATTCAACACGAGAGACTATTCAGTCCTGAGACTTTAGAAGTTCAACTCCACAGCTCCCTAGACAGAACCCTGAGATGTCACTTGTTCTGGGTCCCATGATGCCCTTGAAAACAGCTCCCTTGAGGTACCATGGATGACTACTCTGTGTGTTCTGGGGTTGGCATGGGTTCAAAGGTATGAAGGGCTTTACCAGTGAGCCTCAGGGAAGCAAGATGATTTCACTCACCCTCAAGCCACATATCCCTGAACCCTGGCAAGGGGAATACCTGGGGATGGGCGGTTCTTACTTCAGAAAGCCATCAGCAAGCCAGGCCAAATGGAGCTCACCATAGACCCTTCCTAGGTACAGACTTACTGCCTTGATCTGACCAATAAAGGACCTGTTCACAGAAAAATCCCATCCGCAGATCTCTTGGTGAAAAGCAGTCTCAAGGAGCATCCATTTGATGGATAACTAACTTTGAGATGAAGGCCGTGGAACTGACCTCTTGGAACCTCAGGTTTTCATCTCTATAATGGACTGTTCTCACACTTCTCTAGCTAGTACCAGTCCTGCATGGCTGGAAACCTCACTGGAGACACACTGACCTGACAAGCTTTCAGTCACTTTATCCAGTCACCTGTGCTTGCAGCAACTCCTCTGCCACCCTGACATGCTATGGATGGAAGTCAAGCTTGTGGCCAACGATATCTTCTATAGTATTTTTAATCCATCGCTGTATCCAGCTGGACTGACCTGTACCCTTCCAAGCTACCATTACCCTTCTGGGACATTGACTATAAGTGCCCAATGCAGAAGACAAGCAGAGAGCCCTGGGTGGCAGTTATCAAGAAGGGGCGGGGACAACCATCTCTCTGTGGTTCTTCCACACAGAGACACTGGCCAAGCCCATACCTGCCAAGAAATGGGCAGGCCTGCCTCAGGGCTAGACTCTCTTCTTTGCAAGTCTCCCTGTCAGGGACCAACATTTCATTGCTACTGTCCTTGTGTGCCTACTGTAGTCCAGGATTGACGGTGGGCAATAAAGGGACCAGTGACCTTGGCCATAAGTCTGTATATGGCTGCTGTTGCTATTGTAGGTGTGAAGAACCAGGAGGTAAGAAACCCTATAGAAGTCATCCTCTGCTGGGCTGGGGGGGGTTGTTTGTTATTCTCCACTGTAAGGAATGCAAGTTCCTAGAAACATAGCTAATTCCAAAGACAGAGTGTAAGAGTACTTTCTGCGCCAGCAAGTCCGAGAGAACTTAAATGTGGGTGGGAACATAACAAAAGGTCAAAGGAGCTGGTCTCGGATGAGCCCCCTAGGCCTCACTGGGGACCATCTGAGATCAATAGGAGTAATGACCACCAGGTAGTCACCCCACATTGGGCGGAGGAAACACGCCATTCCAGGAGAATACCCATGAAAATCTACAGAGTTCACCACTTGGAAATCCCAGTGTCAAACTGTGATTTTGACTGCGATTCTCACTGATACTCAAGGTACAGAGTGATTATTGTTGGAAGGCAGGACAGTCACAGTGTCACACCAGTGTCCCATGGGTTACTCATCAATCAGAAAGGGGAAAAAGTGAAATAAATCTAGTAGTTACTACAGTGACCCAGGGCCTCCCCAACAGGGTGCAGACCTGCAAGTGTGAGTCTCCCCGGAGATGCAACAGCCAGCAGCCATCTCACCCCACACAGAAAACCTGTCAAATCCCAAGCTTAGGTGTAAGCGTGAGAAAGCAAACAGACTAAGAATGTAGGTTGGCCTATAAGACAACGAATGACCTGGAGTCTTCAAAACAAACTAGAAGTCAGTGTGAGGGCAGGCAAAAGAAAAAACCATGGGGCATCAGCCTAGACAAAGAGACGGACACACACAAGATGACAAAAGCGCTGTCTCGTGGTATACTAGTCAGCAGTAGGAATCAAAGTTGAGCACACTCAACAGAGACATCAAAAACATCCTGAGTGAAAGCAGTCAGCCAGTAAGGAGCGCATACAGCTGACCTTCCTGTAGATAAAATGCCATAAAAAAGTGGCTGGATTCAGAAAGTAGGCTAGTAGCAGCCCATGGCATGGGGGAGGCCAGGAGGGATGCAGATTCTCTACAATCCGTTGTGATGCAAGATGCACAGCTATGAGTGCCCTAAAAACAACCAATGATGCTTGGTTGGCACCACCCCCACTTCCCTGCCCCCCCTTCCTTCACAGGATTGGGCGTTGGTCTCTCCTTATAACCTACAGAGCTCTAGTCCCAGACTGTATTTTAAATGATGGAACTACATAATAATTAGTTGCATCTCAACAAATGAGGTGATGAGGTAGGTAGACAGCCGGACAGAAAAGGCAGGTGGGGGGAGTAGTAGACAGACAGACAATGATAGAGAGATGGGGCTAAAGAGACAGAGTAATCAACATTTTCATATCAAAAACTCGAATGGCTGTTGGCCTGGGGGAAAAAAGCAGGTATAAAAAGCATTTTAGTGACTAGTAAAGAGTTAGGCTATAGGATGTACATGGTGGTAGTATTGGGTTTGTGTTTTCTTGGTAATGATACTCTGATATCTTTCCCATTGGTTTACAATTAGAAGCACTTACATTTAGAGCAGTAGGTCTCAACCTATGGTCTTAGGAGCTGAGACAGTGCTCAGTATCAAAACTATAACTATGAAATAGCAACAAAAATAATTGTATGTTTGGAGGGCTCCCAAGACCATTGGAAAGAGATATTTTCCGATGGTCACAACCCATAGGTTGGGAACCACTGATTTAGCTATAAGTCAGGAGTTTTGCTTTATGTACAGGTGGGGGAAGTCATGAGGCCATTCATGAGCTAACACGGGCCTATTGCCACCGCTCACTGAAAGGAGATGCTAGGTCAATGGGTCTGTCATAGAAAGCCCCTGACTTTCATAAATTTACAGATTCCTACAACAGACACTTTTGCATTTTGCCCTTTGCATATAATTCTGGAGAATAATTTTTTTTCTGGACCCAGACCTCACTCCATAGCCCAGGGTAGCCTTGAAGTAGAGACTCCTCCGTGATCTTCTTGACTTGTGTATTGCTTGCCTGGTTCTCCTCCATTTTGGCTGAACTGCCAGCCTGACATCCTGACATTCTGACTGTACCCCAGCAACTCTGCTGTCAGCAAGAACACACACTACTTGCTAAGCAGTGAGCAAATCCATGACATGCAGGCTGACAGCCCCTCTTTTAAGAGTCTTTGTAGCACCCCTCCCCAAGGATCTCCTGGATCCTAAGCCTTTAGTAGGGGGTTTCCTATAGGTATAGGAAAAACCCTCTTTAGTTCCCAACACTGTGTCTTGTGCTCCTTGTGATGGGCCATGTAGACCCCTCCTGCCCCATCTTCTGCCCTCCCACACCTGCCAATTTAGTAAGTCACAGCATGACACATACATGGTGTCTGTGGGTTCTTGGAAAGCTTCACCCTCCTTCCTGTCTCTAGGCAGCTACATGCTGCACCCTCTGTCTGGAAGAATGTCCGCTGTCCCCATCTTTTTGTTAACCAACCCTCCTTGTAGCCTTCCACTCCTTTAGCCTAGCATCTTTTCTTAAGAAGCCCATTACTGATGCCTTCAGCACTACTGGTTTGGCTTCTCATAGTGCACACTTCCTTCTGTTCTTACTGCTGATAAAATTAAACAACTGTTTACCCATTGTCCTCCCCAGCTAGGGCTGAGCCTTTTCATACCTCAGAACCTAGCAGAGACCTAAGTGGACAATGGGGCGTGTGTTATTGAAGCTGGGGGCCTGGGAAGGGACTCCAGAGACAGCATCTCAGCTCTTCTTCCACTTAAACTGTATTCTTCGACATACCCTGTTAGGTGCCTATGCCCCAAGTGCCCCATTTTCTCCTTTGTGTCTTTTGGGGTAGTTAGGAAGCCAGCATTACAGAAGGATGAATTACAAAAAGGCCCAAGTAATGGTAGGCAGGAAGAGAAGTGCAATCTAAGATCTGCTTCCACAAAGGTTGGCAAGGCTATTAGCCTTTGACTCCTGGGTTCTCTCCCAACCAGGATGGTTCCCGTTATCCAGGACCCAAGCAGCAGCACCCTTGATGTCTGCAGTACTGAAGCTGTCCACTGGGAGGCACCAAATCACCACCACCTGTACCCATCCACCCAGCTCTCCAAAGACTGGGCAATGGAGACCTCAGGAGTCTCAGGACATTTGGTGTGCCTGCCCCTTCCTGCTATCCGCATTTTTTCCCATTCGCTGGCTCAAGAAGAGGGAAACCAATAGGCACTCTGCAAATCTGGGCTTGGCCATTGTGGCCTCAAATCCTGCCTCTTTGATAGTTACCTGGTCCTTCATTCACTCATATTTTAATTATTGTTCATAGGCACACACATGCTAGAGACCAAACCCTGAGCCTTGAACACTCTAGGTAAATACCACTGAACCACGTCTCAGTCTGAGATATTATCAAGAGCAATTATGAATTATGATTGGCAGTCGGGGATGGAGAGTAAATCTCCCTGCATATTGAAGAATGCTGTGTGTGATTAGGCATTGCCTGGGCCCTGCTGTCTTTTAAAGGAGATTCTCTCAACCCATTCATGGTTAGCTGGTAGAGCACTTTTGATAATTAGCTTCAGTGGTTCACACACTGAGTTTAAAAAACAGCGGTTTCCTTTTCAAATGTTGTCTTTTTATAGCCTAAAAGAATACTAAAGGATCTACTTTACAGTTCTGGGATGGAGTGGGTAGATGCAGATTTACCTTTTCCACGTACCACACTATTTATTTTTGTTTCTTCGAGGAGGTCTTAATTCAGGGTTATCAACCAAAAAGAATATTTTTCTAACCTGCCTGTGTGTTGCAGTCACTGTCTACCAAGCTGGGGCTAAGAGCTGGCCTTCCCTGGAAACCCAGTACCACACACCCCTTATCAACTGTGGTGTGTGTGTGTGTGTGGTGTGTATGGTGTGGTGTGTGTGTGTGTGTAGTGTGGTGTGTGTGATGTATGTATGTGGTGCGTGTGTGTGGGATATGTGCATGGTATGTGTGTGTGATGTGTGTTATGTGTGTGTGTATGGTATGGTGTGTGTGTGTGTGGTGTGTCTATGCACATGCATATATGTGAGAATACACAAGGTGTGGCAGAGGCCAGTCCCAGTCACCTTCATTTCTGAGACATCGTCTGCCATTGCCCTAGAGATCACCAACTGCACTAGGCTGGCTGGCCAGCGTACCCCACTGATCCTCCTGTCTCCACTCCCAGCTCTAGGACTACAGGGTCACCACCACGGCCTGCCTCTTATATGGGTGCTTGGATTGGACTCGGGGCCTCAGGCTTGTGCAATAAGCACTCCACCTGCTATCTCTCCAGCAGCTGCATCCTATTTTCTTAAACAAAAAAACTGTATCTGTCTTTTATAAAAGTGAAATGTGTAGATTTTAGAAAACTTGCTTCATATTTTCAAACTAGGTAATTCCTTGTTGTCAGAGCCGTCCTGCCCACTGTACAACAATGGGTGACATCCCTTGCATCTACTACATGCACCAACACCCCCTCTTTGGTGGTAACAACCAAAATCAGAGATGCCACCAAATGTCTCCATTGCAGAAACTCAGTCTGAGATGCAGTTAGGCCACCACAGATGATCTGGTCATTTTTCTTCTCATAAACTCAGCTTTTCTTCTTCTAAATAGGACTGTACACTCTTTATTTACACACACACACACACACACACACATGCATGCACACACAAACATGTTCACACCCATGGATGCTCAAACACACCCACCCCTCCCACCCACCAACCCCCATATGAGTACAGGTGTTCATGGAAGTATGCAGAGGGTATCATCTCTTGGAGCTAGAGATTGTGAGCTGTCTGATATGAGTGCTTGGAATTGAACTCACATCCTCTGGAGGAATAGTATACTCTTAACCCTTGGGCCCTCTCCTCAGCCCTCCCATCTGATTTAAGTTAGAAGCATTTTCTGAGTCATTACATTTTCTTCGGGGAGATGCTTTTAATGGCTGTGTAATATCACCAACTGACTAGATGTCCAGCACTGGAAGCCATTTTGTCAATCCTTTGTTGGATGGTTAGAGTAGTCCAGTGTTCTGGAGGAATAAATAATCCGTGTATGAATGACTTTTTATATAAATCAGAATTCCTGAGTATATTCCAAGAACAGATACAACAGGAGAAATTCTTCCATCCAAGGCCTACAGCACACTGATGAATCAGCTTCTAGATTCTAAGCTGCCCCAGCAGCATGGATGCTTTACATGGTTGAGTGGGAGCTTCACAGTACTTCTGAAGGCCAGGGCAGTCACCTTTCAGTAGGGAGGAAAGAATGGGGAGCTGTTTCCAGTGTCTTTCCTCATGGTGCTGGCAGAGCAGCGTGATTCATTGTGGTTCAATGGTAACTCATGTCTTCAGAAACATGCTCAGGTCAGATGAGAAACCATTTTCCCTTCTAACACACCGGCCAGCTTGTAGAGGGGCTATTGGTGGCTCAAGAGGACATGTAAAGCCAGGGTTGATTCATGACAAGCATGTGAACAGGAATTTGAGAGAGTCAGACACAGTTCTGTGTAGTGTTAACTAAGCCTTGATTCCCACTCTCCAGACATGGTCTCCAGTAGCAGCACCACGATTGGCATCTGAGTGCTGCTGGGGATGTACACCCTGCTCACATCATATCCTGTATAAGAGGCAGGAGACTTGAAAGACCCATCTCACACCGAGCCTCAAGTTCTCCACCACAGTTTACTGAGCCTGAGTCCAAACAATGCTTGGTCCCCTGAGAGGACAACTTACTAAGTTTCCAAACTCGACAGCCTTGGCTGCATTGAACTGGGTGTCACATCTTAGTTGATGGCACTCACAGAGCACAGGGTATTTCCCTCAGTGACCACACAGAAGCAAGAGCATACATAGCTATTGACCTCAGCAATATTAACACCATGGTCATCAGTCATCATCACCATCATCACCATCATCACCATCATCACCATCACCATCATCACCATCATCACCATCACCAGCACCAGCACCATCACCAGCACCAGCACCATCACCATCACCAGCACCATCACCAGCACCATCACCATCACCATCACCATCACCATCACCATCACCATCACCATCATCAGATATTCCTGTAGGCTGTCAATGTTGATTCTAGAGAAAGTATGACAAGGCATGGAGGCTTCCATAAGACGCTCTTCTAGATACTTTGTGAGGAGACCACCCCACTACACACATGTGCTCTCTCTTTCTCTTACACACACACACACACACACACACACACACACACACACACACACACA